TATGTCAGAGTAGGCATAAATATGATTTCTAATAACAAAAATTAAAGATCAGCTTATTTGAACGATAAATCGTGCAATCAAGTGTTTCTTTATTAAGGATAGATCTCAGGATGAGATTCTGAAAGAGTAACCGCAATACTAGAAGAATTCCTTCCTTGTTCGTACACATAACATTCTTAGTCCCTCAATTATTGATAAATTACTTCAAATATACACGTATGATATCTTTATGCTTATGAATATTCAGAAAATTTTCAAATTCTTAACTATTTTACTGTTTAATTACCTATGGAAAATTTAAAACTTGTTTGGTTAGTTGTTACTCCATAATTGAAAGTACTATACTTTTAAAAATAGTTCAAATTAACATATTACTTAAGACAATATCATATATTTAAATTAATCGATGGATAAATATGTTGAGTCATATATCATAAGGATTAAAATTTAAATTTATCAATATTTGAAGTATAGAAAATACTATTCTCCCTAATATCCATTAAAAGACCATATCATATATTTTAAACTAATTGAAGGATATATATGTTGAGTCATATATCATAAGGATAAAAAAATTATTATGCAAAAATCACTCCAAAGTATCGAACATGCACACAGCAAATACATTTAATGTCTAATAGTATAATTACCCTACTAATCCCTAAAACCTGACTAATTAATTGAATTTATCAATAATTACCCTTCTGATCCCTAAAACCTGACTAATTACTCTATTACTTAGTCTCATATTATATGTCACCTTTACACTTTGTATTTGTATTAAGAAATTATGTAACTTTATTCTTTTATCCTTATTTGATTTTTTTGAAATTCAAGTTTTCAATCAATAAATATGAATTAATTTATTTTGTCTAAATTAAATCAATGAACATGAATCATATACTTAACTTTTTCAAGTTGGTCAAAGGTAAAAAAAAAGCGTTAATTTGTGCATTAATTTTATAAAATAATAAGTATTATAAACTATTTATAAAAAAAGATGACATATCAAATGAAAGTGACGGAGTAATAGTTAACTACAATTTGCTGCTTGAAAGGGAAAGCTAATAGTTTCCTAAACAAATTTGGAAAAAAGACATAGAAGAGACTGTGTACTATGAATGTGTTACATCTTAATCTACCTAACTAATTAGCATTTTATTCATCATCATTATCATGCCTATTGGAAATTTGTATTTTTATATTTATATTTTATTTGTTGTTCTTAATGTGTTATCATTATATGACGGCGTTCTATTGAATATTTTTCCAAAGCTTTATGTCATTTTCTCTCTTTAATTACAACTCTTTATTCTTAGATTATCAATCAATAAAAAGATGAAATTTAAGTTCTCTTATTATTATTATCCATTATTAATTTTGTAAATTTTCAAAATTTTTTATTTTCACACATCAGATTAGTATATTACATTAAATTAATGTATCTCGCATATTATATTAATGTATCTCGCGCATCAGATTAGTGTATCATGCATAATATGTACATTAGATTAGTGTATCATGTATAAAATGTAATGTATCTTACTTAACTATTAATGTATTCGTGTTTATATTATTGTATCAGGTTGAGAGATTTCTATAATTAAAAACTTACAAGGGACAAATTATGATTTTACATTAAAAGTATGTGATTTCTGTCATAAATTCAAAATATACTATGTTAACAAGGTCTAAATAAGAATTACCTGATGTCGATATTTTGTCTTAATACAAATAATGTTAGTGTTTATTTTATCATTGCTTCAAAACATTCTTCTATATATGCATTTGTATATATAGTTAATTTTTAATGGGATAATGCACAAGTACATCCTCAATCTATGTCCGAAATCTCAGAGAAACACTATACTAAGGTCTTATTACCCCTAAACTTATTTTATTAATAATTTTCTACCCTTTTTCGGCCTACATGACACTATCTTGTGGGTTCAACGGTGATTGCCTTTTTTTTCAAGCTAGTGTCACATAGACCGAAAATGAGTTGAAAATTACTTATAAAATAAATTCAAGGGGTAATAAGACCTTAATATAGTATAAGTGTATCTCTATGATTTCGAGAATAGATTGAGAATTTACTTGCATTTTTCCATTTTTAATTAAAAAGTATAAGTACATACATTTGTACCTATAATCAATTATTTTCTAGAAAACTGCCTAATTATGCTGCCCATATGTGTATGCTTGGAATATTTTATATGGTATGTGTGTTCGTGATAACTACTAATCGGTACTAGTTGGAGTTTTTGGGATTTTTTACATGTATTTCGTAAGAATTAATATAACTCAATTTCAGAATTTAAATTTTATATTTTTAATATTTTTTATATTAAATTCATTATATAAGCATATAAAGAATTTTTTTTTTTAACAAAAAAAATTCTCAAGTTTAAATCCTTTGAGCGTAATAACAACTTTTAATTAATAGACTGTAAAAGCATAATAACAAAAGGATCCAAATCATACGTGAAGATCTCTCTTCATTCAATTATATATACATGAACTTAATTTAATGTAAGCATCTAATATTTTCTTTTTACCATAGTCAATATCATGGAGCCTCACAAAAATTTCACTTGAATTTCATCTCTTTTCTTTTTTGTTTGTGAGAGTTATTCATAGGACGACCCACCGATAGATCAAGACTTGAACAGATAGAATCGGAGAGAAAAGTTATCTTTTTAAATAGATAAATATTACATGACGTAAATTTAAATTAATATTATTGATGAATATGTATCTGAAAGCAAATGGTTATAAGAAAAAAAGAAAGAACCAATACGAAAGCGGCGCTCAACTAAATAAGAAGGTAATTACTCAATATTTTTAAATTAATTTTGTGCATGGTTTTCTAAATACATATAATTTATTAATATATAAAACTACTTTAATTTGATATTACACAATACATTGAATGTGGTTTAAATTTTTTACACATATTACTGTAACGAAAGTTTAGTTTATCAAATTAATATCATAACAAAAATTTAGTGTATCAAATTAACCTTTTTTTAATATAGACTAATTTGGGCTTGCTTAGATTGATAGGTCAGCATCAAGGTGCAATATTCATTTAACGTGGAGTTTTGAGATAAAAATTTATTCTAACTCAATGTTTATGTTTAAAATAATTATATTAACTTATTATAATTAATAATTTTTTTATGTATTTATTATTTAACTATAACTAAGTGAAATCCAAGAAATTTATATACAAGCATGTATATATTACCGTTGTACATTAAACTCAAAAGGTATCTAATTTCTTATAATACTCTTTTTTGTTGTTGTTGATTTTCAAAGGGGGGTCTGTATTTGGACAATTTAAATATAGATCATTTTCATGACAAATTGTCCTTTCATCTTAAGGTTAATGAATCCTTTATTAGATTTACATATTCCCTTTTTATTCTATGATATCACTTTTAGATAATATATATAAATAACCAAACATGTTATGTATAGTTTTTTAATATGAGCTTAGTTATATGGCTGATTTTAAGTTTAAATAAAGAAAGGAAAATCATCGACGATCGATTGAAAATAATTGTTATTTTATAAAATAGAAATAAGTTAAACGTATATTTTATATTTCTTTTTAAGGATATAACATATTTATGAAATTATTCTAAATTTATGGTGATATGTATTTAAATAAATTTAAAGGTTATTCCATGATATGCCAGAAAAATATTAATGTGAACTGTGAAGTATCAATTATGATTTATCTTTAATTAAACTTGTTCACATGAATCTCTTTGTTTCCTTAGGACCAGAAATTGTATCACTAAAATCAAATTGAGATAAAACACGCAACTCAAATTTGATTATTCATCATGTCACTCTAGTAGTAGGCTAGTAGCTATAATAATAACATAGAAATTATTATTTTATTTATTCAAATTTTTATTCAATGTTTATTATTTATATTGATTTATGAGAATTCATTTTGCTGTGTGTATATATTAGTGACCACAGAATAAGACCATTCACTGTCTATCCAATTAATTTTCATATTGAAGAGTTAAATTTAAAATTTCTAATTAAAAACAATTATGTACATTTTCATATTAATTAATATATTAAATATTGAATAACAAAGTTTTCGTCAGGCTTAATTCTTCCTTCTATTGAAATATTAAGATACTACTTAATTTAGTTGTTTCTTTTTAAAACTCCCAAGTTTTCAAACAATACGATGTTGTGGTTGAAGTTTGGGAAACATTCAAAATTCTCTAAAATAGAAATAGAGAACTTAATTTTTTTTTTCGGTCAGATATTTGATATCTATTTTATAGGCCTTACATATTAATTTTGCGCTAAAAATATCTACATTAGATATAAAATACTTAGGATTGAAATAATTTTATTTGTATTATCCAAATTTAAAATTTTTAATTAAATAATTTTAATAAATATTTTAAAATATTGATCTAGAAGTTGAATTTCAAAAGAATAATAGGAAAAGTCAATAAAACTTCTTGATTTGCCAGTCATCATTCAAGACTTGTTTGACCTGGCCGCCTTGATAATAGACCACGTGTCCTTTTTGCATATTATTTTAATTGTCTCAAAAATTAATCACAAGAAGCCATAAAATAATCGCAAAACATCCTCCTTGGTCACTCTTTTTTTGTTTCTTTTTCTCATTAATAAAATACTCATTTTTTTTTATTACTTTCTTGTGATATTAATGACACATCAAATACTTTCGAAAGAGTTTTAACTTATGTTTGAAATCTTAGTCAAAATCAAAAATATGATATAATTTGTAAATCTTTGAAATATATATGCAAGAAGTATGAAGAAGTTTTTTTGTTATTGCATCAATATTTCTTCAATATAACTGATAATATATCTTATTTTGATCATGATTCAATTATATTATATCAACGTTTTTCGACTATAATAGATAATATATTTTATTTTGATTATGATTCAATTGTTTTAATTTGATAGTATAAATTTTTCAAACTTATAACCAATGTAGATTTTCTTTGTGGGCCCTTCCTACTTATATGGATATAAAAAGAGGATCAAGCCTCAACTTCTCCCCATAATGGTCTATTACTAAAACAAGGTAGTCACCTACTTCTTTTCAAATCTTTCTTGAAAAATAAAAAAACAAGAGAGGACACAAATGAATTCTTCTTCTAATTTTCTATACAATCTCAATTTCAACACCTCTTCCCTTCCATTCAACATAAATGACTCGGACGAGATGTTGCTCTATGACCTTCTCGCACAAGCTGACTCAGACACTACCACCTTAATAACAAATAGTACAACCATGGCCAAGCCAACACCTTCATCAAAGGAAAAGAATTATAGAGGTGTTAGGCGTCGGCCATGGGGAAAATTTGCGGCGGAGATTAGAGATTCAACTAGAAATGGAATTAGGGTATGGCTAGGGACATTTGATAGTGCTGAAGATGCTGCTTTAGCATATGATCAAGCTGCTTTTTCAATGAGGGGTACAAGTGCAATCTTGAATTTTTCAGTTGAAAGAGTTGTTGAATCTCTACATGAAATGAAATTTCATGTTGAAGAAGGTTGTTCACCTATTGTGTCTCTCAAGATGAGACATTCTATGAGGAAGAGGAAATTCAACAAGAAAAATAAAGTAAGTAGGGAAGTTGTAAAAGATGATAGTAATTATAATGTTAATATTGTAGTGTTTGAAGATTTGGGTGTTGATTATTTGGAACAACTTTTGGGTTCAAGTGATCATAGTAATAGTAGTAATGATGATCGCGGATCGTGGTGGGATGAATAAGATCTCCTCACTTTTTTATTAACTAGAGAATTTGAGTTCAAGTTGTGATATGAAGTGTGGGAACCTGAATTCCTTATATGGCTTGATCAAGATCCATTTAACATGATATAGATCTGAATTTATAATTGACGTCCCAAAAGAGAGTATTGTAGATGGGTTGAAAAATAAAAATAAATAGGTCCATATTTTTACATCAATCTCTACCCTACTTTAATTGGAGATCAGTTTGTAGATTTTTCTTTTTGTGGAGATTTTTAGTGATGATGACACGTTATTGTCTGTAACTTCACAGTGATATAGGTATTGGAAAAACACTTTTTAATCATTAAAAAATTTATTGATTCGACTAATCTAGTAATAAAGTTAAAAGTCAACTATGGTGATCTAAGCATTTTTAAGAAAGTCCACTTTATTCTTGGATCTTAAACTCAATATTTCTATATAAGGGTATATAAATTAACATATATCATTCTATCACACCTTTTGGTCGTAAGTATATACTATTTCCTTGATCCAATTTCATTTGATCCACTTTATTCTTTAATCTGTCAAATACGAATAAAAAACTTATATAAAAATAATTTGAGTTTAAACTTTTCAATTACTGTTAATTAGATGATTATCTATAACATGAACCTTTTATTCTTAACTAAAAATATCAATTTTGATTTTAATTTTTAAGCCTTAGAAATAAGATATTTCTTAGTAAGAAGTGTTTTATTCTTAATTAATGGATCTATCAGATACAAATTTAAATTAGTCGGAAAAATAAATTCTGAATTCTAGATAATATTACAAAGAAGGCTGGCCACGGCCAAGAAAATGTGGTTCACACCTTAGTGGAACTATATGACATAAATCTAAATTAATTATTTTTGATCCAAGTTATTAGGCCCATAAATAAATTGAAGGGATTTCACCTTAAGAAAAAGTGACGGGCCTGTGTTTCTTAAACTTGGTCCAAGCCCAAATCTCGTGTATTAATGGATCATCGTATATCATGTGGGCTGACGCTTTATGAAGTAATAAATTGTGTAGAGTAATATTTCGAAAAATTTATAGAAATTTCATTAGTTTAGAAACTAATTAGATATATTTTAGTTTATAATAATATTAAAATTTTTATCGTATTTTGATGCATCCAAATAAATATATCTCGAGAGACATAATGATATTAAAATGGAGTGTAATTTGTTCTAGATACACTCCCTCACATCCATCCCATCTTGCTCGTCACTCTCCTATGTATCTAATATCTTATATACATGTGAATCACGCTAGTAAAAATAAAATAAAAAAATGAAAGGTCAGGTCATATCACACAATTTACAAACAATTTTTTTATTTATAATATAAATAAATAGCAAAACCATTTTACAATAACACACTTGGCCACAAAAAAATAATACAATAAAAACTTGCAACAAACAAGCTTACACAATACAAAGAAAACTGAAATTAAACCAACAAAAACATTAAAAAAAAAAGTGATTTTCCAATCATTTAATGATCTCATGCTTCTCCAGTTATAGTTTCTTGTGATGCTTCCTCTAGAGATTTTCCTTTTGGCTCTGGCACACAAAATGTACATAACATTCCAAGTGCATTGATACAGCCTAGAACAATTAGCGAGTTTTTTATTCCAATTCCCGCTGGGTATCCTGCATCTGTTTTGTTTGGATCTTTACTTTGTGCAGCGTATAAGAACCCATACGCTCCCACTATAGCTCCAGCCTTACCTGCAGCCGCTGAAATTCCATGACATGTTGATCGAAGCCTCGCTGGGAAAATCTCCGCCGGGACCACAAATGTAGTAGCGTTAGGCCCAAAATTCGCAAAGAAAAATGTAAGCGAATACATTACAATGAATCCAATGCGGTTAGCCTCCAGTGTCCAATGATGGTAAGGGATGGCAATCGCAAACATAAACACTGTCATGAAGAAGAATCCCATCAATTGGATAGCGAACCTTCCAATAATGTCAATAAACGCCACGGTGAACCAGTACCCTGGCACCGTGCTACAGAGCGCAATTAATGTTTGCGCTCTCGCAATTTTGTAAACTTCCTGAACAGCGTTCATTGTTGGAGCTTTAGGGATCCATCCGACGGCGGAGAACACATCCTTCTGAAACAAATTCTGACTGTAGAAAGCAATATCTAATAAAAACCACGTGGAACACGTTCCGAATAAATGCAATCCGTGCCGTCGAACAAATTCCCACGAAAACAGACCGAATTGATTAGTTTCATTCCTTGAAATTTGTTCGATTTTGGCTTCCTCGCTTTCAATTTCCACCTGTAGTACCTTACCCATGTCCTGCGCGGCTCTCTTCGCGTCTTTCGCGACTAGAGCCGTGTAACGTGCTGTTTCGGGCATTTTCATGCGCCAGTAGTAAGTGAGGGCAGCTGGCAATGATCCAAACATGAGAATGATACGCCAAATGTAGTCCGATTGTGGTACAGTAGATAGAGCAGCATTTTCCTCGAAAGTTGGGGATCTATACGCGTGATCGAATCCAGCTGCTGTGATAAGTGCAACTATCCCACTAAACAAAATTCCAAAACCTTGCATAGCGAATACCGCCGCTATGAATGCACCACGTGTCTTTTTGTTAGCGTATTCAGACATGATGGTAGCGGACAAAGGGTAATCACCACCAATACCAAATCCAAGCCAAAACCTAAAAAAACACAATGTAGTCATAACACCCTTAGGTGTACTACCAAAGGAGAGCCCTGAAGCAACAGAACACACAACCATGAGAACTAAAGTCATACCATACACCTTTTTTCGTCCCATTTTGTCACCTAGCCAGCCAAAGAATAGCTGGCCGGCTAGGGTGCCAACAAGGGCAACACCCGTGACCGAGGCTGATACGGCCGGAGGGAGTGTTCCGGGTTTCAAAAGATCCGGTTTGGTATAGTATAAACGCCCAAGCAATTTAGTGACAAGAGAAATACTAAACAGATCATAAGCATCAGTAAAAAATCCCATTCCAGCAATAACAATAGCTGTAAAATGGTAAAGTTGAGTTTTAGCCAAATCAAGTGCATTAAGCACTTGTAAATTATTATTATCATTATCCCCCACAGCCATAATGCCTAAAATTGGTTCAAAAAATTGTGCACTTTCTTGATTTTTGTGAGAATTGGTGTGTTTGACATTTGGGAAAATCGCAACTACTTATAAGGGTTGTTACACTAATATAAAAAGAATAATCTCAAGAATATTATGGGTATATACCTTTATATCATGTCGAGCTTATACTAAATTTACAATTTTTTTACTACAATTTGATTAAGTATTAGCATATATCTCGTTATGTCTTTGAACTTGTCTTCAATATGCTGGCAAGTTGTTAATCTTCTGAAATAATGGATATCATTATCTTTATTTTAACATAAAGTCTTCTTATAGCTTTGATATTATATTTGTAGAACACAACACAATCGTTACTTAATGTGTATGTAACTATAAATCATTTTATTAAAGTTACTGAATGAAAAAGTTAGGATTGATTGAAACCTAACGTTCGTTCTAGAGGTAAGGATTGTGCAACGGTGTGAGGCTCCATAATTACCATTTGAAAGTTGTGGTAAGATTGTTGATGTATATCTCCATTTCTTTTACACCACGACCTTGAGTAATTATAATTAGCAACAAGACATAGTTTACTTCTCTGATTAATGATTACCTAAAAAAATAAAAATGAATTGAAATGATGTCTTAATTATATTATCTCCAATTATCAATCTCTTTCTTGAAAAATATTTTATAGTTCAATAAAAAAAGTCAGAGGCTTGAAGCAATTTTGGTAGTTAAATAAAATTTATATAGATATTATAATTAGCATTTGCATGGTCGAAAAGTTTGAAAACAAATGGGTTGACAACAACGAAAGTCACCATTGTTGCAAGTTCATTTTGATATGTGAAATTTATGTTTCAAATATAAGTTTATTGGAGGTAGATTTAGGTATTAAATTGTGTGTTTTAATTATTCGGATTCGAAAAAAATTATTCACCTCAACTTGATGTGAAATTTAGCCTAATATATGCCTCAACATCATGTGAAAATGTCTAAACGTGGTAGCTGATCATTTGGAGATGAGTTATACAAGTATTAAATCCGTACTACATTTTGGTAGTTGATTATATTAGGAGGTAAGTTATTTATTTATGAAATTGATACGGTGATGATTTGTAATTTAAAAACTCGTGCAACTATTACATAAAGTATGAGAGAATCTTTGTGTTATTTATAAAAGATCGAAAGTGGAATAAGTAACACATGAATAATTGAAACTTGCACAACTGATTTTGACATTTTAAAATAATACATATATTTTCATAATTAATTTTTGAATTACTGATATCTACATAATTCTAACCAACTATCAAACTACCCCTCAAGTTAAAAAGGAGTTTATGACCAAAATAATCTATTATTTCATTTAATTCACCAAAATAATATGAAACTTTGAAATTTTACAAAAGTAGTATAAACGTTGTTGGTAGTAACGTATTAGGCTATATTTCATTTTCAAAAAATAAACAGACTAAAAGTATTTGGTAGACGGCGTTAAGAAGCATTACGTTACTGACAGTAACATTTTAAGCTTAAGACGTTACCATCAGTAACGTATCTTTGTAAATCTGCCACCTGCCACCTTAGAATCTCTGTACGAAATTTGACGTCGAAGACGTTACTGGAAGTCACGTTTTACATATAAAACGTTACTTGGAGTAACGATTATATCAAATCAAATCACAGGTCTGCCACCTGAGAATCTTTGTACAAAATGTGACGTTAAATCGTTACTGGGAGTCACGTTTTAAGACTAAAATGTTACCCTAAGTAACGATTCTATCATGTCACGGGTATGTGAAGATTTCCTGCTGATTTGATCGTCCAATAAAACGTTACTATATGTTACGTTTTAACTTTAAAATAAATTCTTAAAGTGTTGCCACAGAACATTATAAGAAATGGTTGTGTAGAACGTTTAGCACATTCAAATAATGTTCTACAAAGCTTCTGCGTATATGCCCTATTGTTGAATCAATACTCACAAAATTTCAATAGGTATGGCTTGTCAATATATTGTAATGTACTTATAACATATTTTTAATAACTATAATGCATCTTATTTTTGTGTGTAGGATTTTTTGATGGCTAATTTTGAAGATAACGTGATGATTCCTTTGTATTGGGGCGGTGAAATAATCACTGAAATAAACGGATTTCGATATAACGAATGTGCCAGAATGATTGTTAGCATGTCTATTTCGACCAACTACG